GTTTGGAGTTTGGTTGTAGAAGAGGTTATAAGTTAAGGAAGTTGTGGTTTGGGGTTCAGGGTTTGGGGTTTCGAGTTTATGGATTTACAAATCCTTTCCTCGTAAAACCCTAGTAACAGAAAACGTGGGCATATCTATTTTCTCGTAAAGGTTGTTTCCTCGTAAAGTCTTATTAACACTGTTACTAGGACTTTAAGAGGAAATAAACGTGGACTTTAAGAATAATAGAAAATGCGGGCATATCTATTTCCTCGTAAAGGCTGTTTCCTCGTAAAGTCTTGATCCACCTCCTCCTCCACCGGTCGCCCGGGTTCATCCCAATTTGGAGGTGCCGCCAAACGCTCAATTTGCGGTGTACACGGTGAAGGATATTATGGCCCTTCCAGGCAAAGAAGGGCTGCCTGAGTTAGATCATATCCAACGGGGCGGTCACAACATATTATGGTATGTTTTAATTTTTAAAAAGTGTTTTTAATTTATTTCTTAATTAACCAAAAATTTACAAATTAATCTAATTAATGTTTTTATTTTGTTTCTTTCCAGGTTTGGCCTTGACGGATGTGTCGCTCAAAGTGTCACGGATTGTATCAAGGGATACTTTCCTGATCCAGCTCCAAACTGGAAAAAGACGCCCATACACACAAAAAGATGTGGTTCAAATCGTTCGCTGTAAGTCATTAATTATTAAACATAATTTATTTTTAATTATTTAAAAATTTTAATATTATTGAACTAATTACTCTAAATTTTTTTCTGTTTACAGCAAAAATATCGTTGGTCTATAGGGATTCACCAGCGGGTGAAGACAGAGTTTGAGGCGAAGGAAAAAGCGCGATTGCTCGACATGGTCTACAACTGGAAGGGAGACTTTCAGGTGTGGATTTATAAATTATATATATATATATAGTTTTATATCATTGACTTTAATTCAAATCATTTTAAAATTATTTTTTGTTCAGGTGGATGGTTACGAGGAGGGGAAACCCGATTGCTTCATGGGATGGCCTCATAAGATATTGGGGGTTGCCAAACTTGGTTAAAACCTCCCAGACAAACTCCGAGAACCGCATGACAAGAGACGAGCATGGCAACACGAAGATGCTTCACACCGGGGGTCAAAAACCTCACGGGGGAATCCGTCTAGACATGTTAAATTAATTTTTAATAACTATTTAATTTTTACTCTATTTGTATATTCCTAATTAATATTTAATTTTAAAAATTATTTTTAGGCTAAAGAGATAGGATTTCTTCCATCTCGGAAAGAGCTTTACGAGAGGACCCACCGAAACAAGGCTGGACATTTTATAGATCCAAGATCCGAGCGGATCTATAACGAGGTTGTTGCTCGAGTTGACGAACGCCAGACCCAGCTGACTCAGCAGTCTGGGACACCAGTCATATTATCCACTCTTGAAGTGGATAAGATTTACGAGGAGGTAAATAATTTGTTTTTCTATTAATTTTTATTATTTATTTAATTTATTTTTTAAACATTATTAATCTTTTTATTTACAGGTCGCCCCTAGGAAAAAAAGGACGTAACGTCGGGGTTGGTTCCGTTAACGATGTCCTCACAGCGACATCGTCTTATTCTCAGGAACATCACGATGTCACTGCTCAGCTGCGCTCGGAGTTGCAGGCGACGCAGTCTCATGTGAGTTCTCTCACCGATATCCTGGACGTTTTGGCTATCGGAAACCCACAGTTGGCGGAGATGTTGCGTGTGAGACGGGAAAACGGAGGCTTTCCAACCCAACAACATCATCCACTGTCACAGTCACAGCCGACGGAGGAGGAGTTGGCGAGCCGGGACGACTTTGTTCAGCAATTTAACGAGCACCATCCGTAGTTTTTTTAATTTTTAATTGTATATTATGAATTTTAAAACTTAAATATTTTGTTATTTCTTTTTTATTTATAATTTAATTTTTTCATTTTTTAAAATATATTATTTAAATTTATAATTAATATTTTTTTAATAGGGAAAAAACATTTCGAAGTAAACTCCTCGTAATATTTTCGAAGTAATGTTCTCGTAAAATTTACTAGTAAGTTCCTCGTAAAGCATTAATATTATTGAACTAATTACTCTAAATTTTTTTCTGTTTACAGCAAAAATATCGTTGGTCTATAGGGATTCACCAGCGGGTGAAGACAGAGTTTGAGGCGAAGGAAAAAGCGCGATTGCTCGACATGGTCTACAACTGGAAGGGAGACTTTCAGGTGTGAATTTATAAATTATATATATATATAGTTTTATATCATTGACTTTAATTCAAATCATTTTAAAATTATTTTTTGTTCAGGTGGATGGTTACGAGGAGGGGAAACCCGATTGCTTCATGGGATGGCCTCATAAGATATTGGGGGTTGCCAAACTTGGTCAAAACCTCCCAGACAAACTCCGAGAACCGCATGACAAGAGACGAGCATGGCAACACGAAGATGCTTCACACCGGGGGTCAAAAACCTCACGGGGGAATCCGTCTAGACATGTTAAATTAATTTTTAATAACTATTTAATTTTTACTCTATTTGTATATTCCTAATTAATATTTAATTTTAAAAATTATTTTTAGGCTAAAGAGATAGGATTTCTTCCATCTCGGAAAGAGCTTTACGAGAGGACCCACCGAAACAAGGCTGGACATTTTATAGATCCAAGATCCGAGCGGATCTATAACGAGGTTGTTGCTCGGGTTGACGAACGCTAGACCCAGCTGACTCAGCAGTCTGGGACACCAGTCATATTATCCACTCTTGAAGTGGATAAGATTTACGAGGAGGTAAATAATTTGTTTTTCTATTAATTTTTATTATTTATTTAATTTATTTTTTAAACATTATTAATCTTTTTATTTACAAGTCGCCCCTAGGAAAAAAAGGACGTAACGTCGGGGTTGGTTCCGTTCACGATGTCCTCACAGCGACATCGTCTTATTCTCAGGAACATCACGATGTCACTGCTCAGCTGCGCTCGGAGTTGCAGGCGACGCAGTCTCATGTGAGTTCTCTCACCGATATCCTGGACGTTTTGGCTATCGGAAACCCACAGTTGGCGGAGATGTTGCGTGTGAGACGGGAAAACGGAGGCTTTCCAACCCAACAACATCATCCACTGTCACAGTCACAGCCGACGGAGGAGGAGTTGGCGAGCCGGGACGACTTTGTTCAGCAATTTAACGAGCACCATCCGTAGTTTTTTTAATTTTTAATTGTATATTATGAATTTTAAAACTTAAATATTTTGTTATTTCTTTTTTATTTATAATTTAATTTTTTAATTTTTTAAAATATATTATTTAAATTTATAATTAATATTTTTTTAATAGGGAAAAAACATTTCGAAGTAAACTCCTCGTAATATTTTCGAAGTAATGTTCTCGTAAAATTTACTAGTAAGTTCCTCGTAAAGCATTACTACGAGTTTACGAGGAAATGTGTTACTATGACTTTACGAGGAAACGTGTACGAGGACTTTACGAAGACTTTACGAGGAAATACTTATCTACGCGTTTACGAAGAAAAGTTTCCTCGTAAATTAGTTAGGACCTTACGAGGAAAAATGCTTCACGATGAACGTGTTTCCTCGTAAGTTCCTAGTAAATGACCATTTACTAGGAGCTTACGAGGCAAAATGGTCTTAATAAATGACGAGTTTTCTTGTAGTGTACATAGTACCATAAGAGAAAAAAATGTGAAATATATGCTAATTAATATTATAAATATACCATATCTTTAATGTAGTTTTAACTATAAAGTAGAAATATATATTTAATTTAAAAAATTTAAAAATAAATGTTAATTCCAACCTAATAAAATAGATTGAAATGTCTTATTTTATAGACTTGTTGTCTTAGGAGGTCTCTAAAATAAGATTTTTTGACCATGTGTTATTTACAATTGCGGAAGAAAATTTTGACCATATGAATGTTGTATGGGGATAACTTGTACATAAGATATTCGTTCAACACATTCAATTATTAAAAATCCATTGTTTGTTGGTTGTATGAATAAGAACCACAATAAATTCAAACCCTTATGCTTCTGTCCAAGGATTTTTAAATATATTTTTGTTTGTCCCAACTTTATTGAATGTTGCAAGGGAGATAAAATTCCAATAATTGGGTGTGAATTATTACGGTGATAGCTTACAAGATAGGGTGTGGTCTCTCACCTTATAATAAAGAAAGTGGTCGTTGATTGCCTCTGGGACACGCTTGACCCAACGGCCCATTATTTTCAGCTTGTGGTCTCCTCTTGGTATATTCTTTGCAAAATTCATACACAATACACATGCCATAAGTGCAGGGCCGGTCCTGGGCTAAGCCGGATGAAACATTTACCTTGGGCCCCCAAATTTTTTAGAAAAAATTACATGTATATATATAGGCCCCCGAAAAAAAATTTTAGGCCCCCAAATCCAATAAAAAAAAAATTTTAGTTGAAATCGTTAAAATATCGCCTTAGGCCCCCAAATTTTCAGGGCCGGCCCTGCATAAGTGTTCCAAAAAAAAAAAAAAAAAAAAAACACATGCCATAAGTGATTGAAAGTCATGTGATGATGAGTTTATTAAGATAATCAATGATGTGTATCTTCTTCCATCACCCTTATCTCTCTCTGTTATCGTGTCGTGTATGTTGGGGAGAACAAGAAAAAGTTTGAATGGTCAAAAAAACTCAAAGAAAAACACAGGAAAAAACAAAACCAATGTAACTTTTACATTGGTTCTTTACTAACTTCAAAGACTCCATTATTATTAATGTTATTTTCACTTGAAGACTATCCCATTGGCCTGTTTGGTCAAATGTTGTAATAAATAAATCTAGTTTTTTCTTACATCCATAAATAAAGAAAATTATCTCTCCAGCGCATTATACGTCTCACGAGAAGAGAGAAGAAGAAGAAACACCACAATAAGAAATAAAAAAAAAATTCATAATTCGAAAAAGTTAAAGCGAGAAGAGAAGAATCATCATCATCATCATCACCATCAAAACCAAAATCTCTTCTTTAATCGTACGGATAGATCTCTAATTCTTCTCTCCAAGCTTAAGATCTTCATCTTTCTCGATCTGGGATTATTACGTTTTCATCGGTTCGTTTGAACATAATCTTCAAGTTTTCATTCTTAAATGCTCATCTCGAACTCTGGGGTCTCTAGTTTTGGAAAATTAGTGAGGTGTTTGTAGCTTCAGATCTGCTTCTATACATTCAAACTTTAAGTGTTCTTTGGTGTTAAGAAGGTCCTTTTTTTGTTAATGCTTCCCTCTTTGTGTTGGTTTCTCTTATCGTTCTTGTCACTTGTTAGTGTTACAAACTCTTGTCAAAGCTTTGCTATTTATATACTCAGATTGTGAATAAATGTTGTTTTGTCTGTTTGTATTTGAAGCTTTTCTTCGATTGAACTTATATAAACTAACTTTGCTTCTCTCTTGTTACATTATTGCAGCCTCCAGAGATTGAAAGAAGGAAACTTTGTTTGTACCCTAGAAAAAAAAATGGCATCCGTGAGCATACCTCCTCCTATTATAGACTCTACTAGTGGTGTTGATAAATTGCCTGAAGAAATGAACGACATGAAGATTAGAGACGATAAAGTACGTTTCTGGCTTCCTATTGTTTCTTACTTATAGTGTTTTTGCTTACTAAAACTAAAAGTGGGGTTTGATTTTGACAGGAGATGGAAGCGACAGTTGTTGATGGTAATAGTACTGAGACTGGCCACATTATAGTCACTACCATCGGTGGTAGAAACGGCCAACCTAAACAGGTAACCTTTCTTTGTTTCAACTTCATTATGATTAAACGTTGATTCATTAGTTTCTTCTGTTTTGGTTTTGATTTTCTCAAATGTGAATGCAGACGATTAGCTACATGGCCGAACGTGTTGTTGGTCATGGATCTTTTGGCGTTGTCTTCCAGGCGAAATGCCTTGAGACAGGAGAAACCGTTGCGATTAAAAAAGTTTTACAAGATCGGAGGTACAAGAACCGTGAGCTTCAAACCATGAGGCTACTTGACCATCCAAATGTTGTCTCTCTGAAACATTGCTTCTTCTCAACCACTGAGAAAGACGAGCTTTACCTCAACTTGGTTCTTGAATACGTCCCTGAAACTGTTCACCGTGTTATCAAACACTACAACAAACTTAACCAGCGTATGCCTATCATATACGTCAAACTCTACACCTATCAGGTACTCTCAACGATTGCAATTTGTAAATTGGTGTGGATCACTTATCGGCTTTTTCTATGTTTTGGCAGATCTTTAGGGCATTATCTTACATTCACCGTTGTATTGGTGTGTGTCATCGTGACATCAAACCTCAAAACTTGTTGGTAAATCCACACACGCATCAAGTAAAGCTATGTGATTTTGGAAGTGCAAAAGTATTGGTGCGTTTGATGAATCTCTTCTGTGTACATTCTTCTTTGGAGAAAATGAAAGATTTTTGAATATTTAGTAAATCATTGCAACTTTTTAAAACACAGGTAAAAGGGGAACCAAACATCTCCTACATTTGCTCAAGGTATTACAGAGCACCTGAACTTATTTTTGGAGCAACCGAGTATACAACAGCCATTGATGTTTGGTCTGCAGGATGTGTACTTGCTGAGCTCTTGCTTGGACAGGTAATGCAAGAAAATCTACTTCAAACATTTCTGCTCTACTCTAACTGGAGTTTTGTGATATTAACAAAATCTAACATGTGCTCAATGGCAGCCATTGTTCCCTGGTGAGAGTGGTGTTGATCAACTTGTAGAGATTATCAAGGTAATAATAAGCTTTGTTGCACATGTTCACTTTAATAACAACTTCTTGTTTCGTATATCATATTTGATGTAATGTTTTTGTGTTTTGTTGCATTGCGTAGGTTTTGGGAACGCCTACTAGGGAGGAAATCAAGTGCATGAACCCAAACTACACGGAGTTCAAGTTCCCTCAGATTAAAGCTCATCCATGGCACAAGGTATTTTAACTAAAACACATTAGATGAACAACATGTTTATTTTCTTCAGTAGCAGTTTGACATGTCTTCTTCTGACCATAATATATATTTACAGATTTTCCACAAACGCATGCCTCCGGAGGCTGTTGATTTGGTATCAAGGCTTCTTCAATACTCTCCCAATCTGCGGTCTGCTGCTGTGAGTGTTAGAACATTCTTCTGTGAATCATTTTCATTTCTATTTTTTTTTAAATCTGAATGTAATATGTGGTGCAGCTTGGCACATTGGTCCACCCATTCTTTGATGAGCTAAGAGATCCAAATGCACGCCTGCCTAATGGACGTTTCCTTCCACCACTGTTCAACTTCAAGCCTCACGGTACATACTTCTTCTTTTCTTGATTCCTTAGCTCCAGTACCTATAAAGATCATCCAAAGTTTCTGAAATCCTCTTTGTTACTTGTTGTGAAATAGAGCTGAAAGGTGTGGCAGTGGAGATTGTAGCTAAGTTAGTACCTGAGCATGCTAGGAAGCAGTGTCCTTGGCTCGGTTTGTAATTTCCTTAAAAAAACCTTAAATGTAGTAGCAATCACAACATTTGTATAATATGCCTCTCTCTCTCTCGCTATCTATCTCTCTGTAATCCACAATCTGATATGTACCCTTTGTTTTGTTGTATGAGTAGTAGGAAAAAAAAAGAAAGTTATTATGACTGTGGTTGGTCTACAGTGTACAAGTCATCAAGTATTTTAATCAATAGTTTTGTACTCTTTGTGCTTTTGTGAATCTTTCTTTAGGAGGAAGAAGCATTTAGCTCCTAAAGCTTAGCCTTTACTCATTTGGTCTTACACGTTTTCAACTTGTATTTGAGTTCACACGCCGACAAGAAAAGTATGCAAATTAGCTAAGTGCAAAGTTTCAAAGAAAATTAGCATTTGGATTGTGAAGTCAATAAGAGAAGCAAAAACAAATGAGGGTTGGAAGTTTAATGAGTCCACTAACAACTATAGTAATATGACTTTGGATTCACATAAAAAAAAATAAAAAGGATCATCGTGCAGAAAGGCCAAAAGACTGAGATTGTGCCAAAGCTTTGACACATCAGAGTTACGAATTGCTGAGTTGTATTCAACTTTCTGGGACCTACAGTATGGTAGGTTTGTGGTCCCTCTCGAGGAATCTCAAAGTCATAAGGTTTTGGAACTCAAAACGTTGCCTACATGCAGTTGAGTTTGGGAAATAATCATTTCAATTAAACCCAACGACCAAGTTTAATTGCTCTTGTGAGGTAGGTATTCTCTAAATTAACACTTCTTTTTCTTTCTGTTGCCATAATAACAATCTTCAACGATTATATATCAGCCAGCCTTTTGAAAAAAGTGTCCCTTTCAAATATATTTGTCTTACTATAAAACTTTAGAGATTCCCGTTTTAAATGAAAATCTAATATGACAAAAGGTTAAGGATATTTTTTAAGACGGTGACATCGAACCAACAAGAAGAGTGAACAGAGTGTGACTGTTATTACTTTATTCCTTGCTAACGTACAAAAACGATTAGAGCAAATTAAATAGAAGAATGCTTACAAAGTCTTCTTCTCGTACACATTTACTGTATCCAGAAGAAGTTTTATGACTGACTAGAAAATACAGACACATATATATAAAGTCTACTTCACTTCTTCCAAATCCTCATGGTACCTAAACCATGATCACTTTCACCAGCATTATTCATTTACCTGCGTTACATACATTAGTATATACGCATACCATCAACAATATAGATACTCTTCACTTTGGACTATATTAATATACCTTATTCAATCAGATAGAGACGAGCATTTGAACCCATCTCTCACAAGTTCATTAACTGCATCCTTAAGCCTATGATACTCCTCAGGTTTGTTATAAACTTGAAACGAAATACGAACATACCCAGTGATTGAATCAGTCTCTCCTTCACCAGGTGGTCTAAAGTAAGTCGGTATCTCAATGCAGAACCTCTCTCTCAAAAGGTTCCTAAGCTTCACAGCATCATTCTCACTCAACACACCTAAACACACAGGCAAACCAACCATGACCATACTCGCACACATCTCGACCGGACAACCTAGCTGTGTCCCCCAAGACTTAACCAACATCTGTCCCATCTCAACCACAGACTCATGATTCCTCCTCTTTATTCCATCAATCCCTCCTTCAAACCGGTTCACAAACTCCAAAATCGATGGCACAACAAGCTGCGCACTGTAGTCTCTCGTCCCAACCCATGTGCTCTCAACCGCTAAACCGTTCCCATACTCGTGAGACACGACAGGATGATGCAGATTTAGATTCCCACCACCAACACCAGAAGATCTCTTACAATACAAGAAAGCAACAGAAGGAGGCGCGAAGAACCACTTGTGGAGATTACTAGTGTAGAAGTCAGCACCAATCTCCTTCATGTCCACGTCAACACACCCAATCCCATGAGCAGCGTCAACGAACACTTGGTCAACGCCTTCTTCTCTACATATCTTCACAAGCTCCTTGATCGGTATCACGACACTAGGCATGGACGTCACGTGATCAATCAAAGCTAACCTAACTCTCCTACCATTCGCCTTCCCCAACTCCAAACCGGTCCTAAACCGGTTAATTATCTCTTCAGCAGAGATAACCGGAAACGGTAACTGAACCTCAATCACCTCCCCACCGGAGCGTGACACGTACGCCTCCACCGATTTCTTCACCGAGCCGAACGCGTAGTGAAGCATCACCACCGCGTCGCCTCTGTCGAACCTGCCTTCCCGGAAGGCCCAGGCGGTCTGCTGGAGGACGATGGCGGCGGCGGTGGTGGCGTTGTCGACGATGGAGACTTCGTCGTCGTGCTCGGCGTTGATGAGGCGTTTGATCACGGCTCTGGAGGCGGAGATGTTCGGTTTTAGCTCGTCGAAGAAGAACCGATCCGGCTGGCGGAGGAACCGGAGCTGCCAATCTCGCTGGACGGCGATGATGGAGGAAGGGCAGCATCCGAAGCTTCCGTTGTTGATTCGGGCCACGGCGGGGTCGTGGTGTGAGAACTCTGATTCGATCTCGGATGAAGAAATGAAATTGGATATTGATTGAGGAGGAGGAGGAGGGAGAGAGATCTTGTGGCGTTTCTCGGGGACAGATTCGACGCCGTTAGTGGAGGAGGGATAGCGTTTGGAGCGACGGTGGTGGTAGGAGGAGGCGGCGGCGGGTTCTTCCGGTGGAGAAAGAGACGCCATGGATTTGGATTTTTTGTCAAAGAGGGGGAGGAGAGAAGGGAATGGTTTTTGTGAGTTTTCATTTTCATTCAATTATTATTAAAGAGGATAAAGACAAGTTGTGAAAGTGCGGTTCCATGACGACGACAAGTGGACAAAACAAAAATAAGCATTGTCACGTGACTGGCGCGTGGTGAGGAAGATATCACCTACCAAGTTACCACCAACACAGGACTTTTAGACTCACGTGTTAAATGGTCTTGCTATTTTGCATCCGCAACATCTTTAAGACGAGGTTACGGAGCAGGACACAATGATGAATTGATGACCACTTTAACGGTTGTTTTGTAACGATCAGACTGATATATAGCCAAAGACTTGAAAGACAGAGTGGTTTTTGTTGTTTCCGGAGATATGAAGATGTTTTTTTGCCGATGGTTCTAAAGATCGGTGTAGGTAATACTGACAAATCGGCCTATTTCTGTGACACCCTCTGATCTAATCTAACTAAAAATTGACTTGATCTATCATGTAACAATCAAATAAGAAAATGCACAACTAACTAACCATTAGTAACTTAAACCAAACAGAGAAAACATAATGTGTATGTAAATGCATCGCTTGAGGTTCCCAAAATATAACAGGGTATCTTAAGCCAATATGCACACATATCTTATTAGATAGTCTGAGACTTTTCAACCCGATCATATAATACTTAATAGTTGGTTCGTTTGATTAATGACTAATATCATATGAACCCATACTAAAAGAAACTAACCAGAACGATTTTTTTGAAAAAATCAGTTTATATGATTTAAATCATACTAAATTGGATTAAACTATTATGTACGCCATCTGTTTCATATTAAGTGTTACTTTAACATTTTTTTTTTGTTATAAAAAAGTCATTTTAGAATTTCAATGCAATTTTTAGTTTAATATTAAAGGTTTTTTCAAAAGTAACCTAAAATTCAAAATCAAATACAAAACTAATCTATGTTTTTTTGGAACTTTTATTTTCCATATTCATCCCATATTTCATATTATTCACGAAAATGCTATTATTTTTTTCGACAATGGTTTTTTTATTCTCTCAACCTCTTCATCTTCAAGTAATTATAAGATTACCATTGACATCTATACACCAACCATCATAAACAACAAATTTAAACTCTTAATGAACCTAAAATCGATTTACATTCATTATATCTTACTTCTTATGAACTAAAAACAACTTCTCTTTCACTTTGTCTTTATATTCATCCAAAGAAACCTAAGATTTTGATTCTAAATTTTTTTATGGTTTATAGAGCTATTTAAGCTTACAATTCTTGGTGAGTCACTTTTGTTTTAGCTTATGGGTACTTGGAGAAGACTTCTATGTGCTAAGGAAGTTATTTCACTAATTTAAGGTATGAAATCAAATTTTTTAGATCTGTTTGGCTAGACGACTTCCGCTTAAGTCTTCTGGCAGTAGAAGACTTACACGGAAGTCGTCTGGTCAATACAAAAGTTACTTTTGCAATTGATTTTTATATGTGTTTTTAGAGAAGACTTTTATGGAAGTCGTCAAATTATCTTTGTTAAAAAAATAACTCGAGAATATTAGAGAAGACTTACATGTAAGTTGTCTAGGATAAGAAGTTTAGTTTTGCATTTGACCGGATTCTGTCAAAATTTTGACTTTTCCTGGACGCCTTACACATAAGTCGTCCGCTAGAAAATTAAAAAAAACAATATTTAGTTATAACTAAACGACTCATGTAAGTCGTGTCGAATTAGTTTTGCAATTGAAAAAATAAATTTTTTTTTTTTTTTGTAGACGACTTACGCGGAAGTCTTCCGCGAGAAGACTTACATGAAAGTCGTCCAATATTTTATTCTGATACTCTAGTCAAACTTTGCTTATTTCGGACGACTTCCCTGTAAGTCGTCTACAGGAAGACTTACATGTAAGTCGTCCGAATAAAATTAAATATTCAAGCTTTTTTTTTCAATTGCAAAAGTTACCAAGACGACTTACATGGAAATCATCTAACAAAATTTAAATATTAAATTTATTATTCTAAGTCGTCTAATTATAATTCAATATTGATTTTTCAATTTTCTACCAGATGACTTATATGTAAGTCTTCTCTGGTATTCTCGAGATTTTTTTTTTTTAAAAATTAAGCAAATATTTACAAAGAGATGTAGAGCAGAATTCTCTGGAATTCTTTCTTTGTAAAATTTTAATTGCAAAAATGACCTAATTGGATGACATCTTAGAAGTCTGCTGGATGACTTCCATGGAAGTCGGTTGCGTCAATTTTTAATAAACATTCATTTTCTCAAAACTATAAAGACTTTTTTAGCATTTTCTTGTTAATTCATGTACATTAATCAATATTGGAGCTACAAAGTGAAATTTATAATTTAATTGGTGATATTTATGAAGTTACCAATATTCATGTTATTAATATTTCAAACTAATGAGAGAAAGATTTATGAGGAAGTTTTCTCGGATTAATTTTTTGAAGTTAAAATCTTTTGGTGAGAAAACTTCTTGGAAGACTTCTTATGAAAAAACCACATACCAAATGTAAGCATAACACATGAGATGATAACAATGATCATCGATTTCTACTTCTGGTTAGAAGACTTACATTTAAGTATTTTGGGAAGTTTTCTCACCAGAAGACTTAAATGCAAGTCTTCTAACCTTGTTTATAGTTATGGTAATTGATCACACACAACGTACATATCCAAGTAGAAGATGAGAACCATCTGATTAAAAACATGCAACAAAAAGATAGATTAGTGAGAAAGACATGAGACAAAAATGAAAAACTCACATAAAATTTGGTGTTTTTAAGTCAAAGAGATTAGAGTGGGTTTGGAGAATTTTAGTTTGGGAAAAAAAGTAAGAACTTTTTGCAACAGTAGGTTACCAAATGAAGAAAATCAGACATAAAATTTACCAAAAAGTTCAGATCTATTATGAAAAAGAGATATAGGAGAAGACTCCGTTAGAAGACTTCGAGTCCTGAAAATCTTCCTAGAAATCTTCTAGCGCATTATATTTTAGAAGAAATCCCAGAAGTTTTCCATAGTCTGATCCAGATATAAAAAAATCTGCATATCTAAATCTAGATCTGAAAAAATTACATATCCAAAAACGTTCAAATGACTTAAAAACAGAGAAAACGAGTGGAAGATTAGATCTACATTTATGGAACACACAAAAATACATATCTAAAATCAATAGATCTACATCTATATGAGTGTAAGATGAGAACCATGTGATGAAAAACTTGCAAAAACAAGATAAATTTATAAGAAATACATGGGACAAAAATAATAAATTGATATAAAGTTTGGTGTTTATAAATTCAAAAAGATTAGAGAGACATTAGAGAGATATTAGAGAGTTTTAGAATAAGGAACATTACATTTTTGTTGGAGTCATTTGAGAGGAAGAGAGATAATGTGTAAATTTTTCTTTATATAGGGAGACAAAAATTTCAAAAAGTTAAATATTTTCGATTCAAAAGACTTTCAAGTAAATCTTCTAGAAAACTTTTAAGTAAGTGTTCTAATAGAAGACTTCCTAGGCGACTTACTTGTAAGTCGCCCATAAAACTTCACTATTTTTAGCGGGAAGCTAAAATATTTTTAGAAGAAAACTAAAGTATTTTTAGCAAGAATTAGAACTTCCAGAGAAGTCTAATCGTCAGTTGACTTACTTGTTAGTCGTCTAGACCCCTCAACATAACCCCTAAACTATATTAACTAACTAAACGCTTCATAAAATCAAATTAAACTTCAAAAAATGTTTGATATACACTGAAATAAACACATATAGGTAACATTTTATTTTTTCAAAAAATATGTAAGCTTTCAAAAATCCAACTCTAAGAATACATACAATACTATAACATATGTTGCAAGACCCTAAGCCAAAGACTATCATGATTAACTAATTTCACTTATCTATGTTGAAAATTATTCAATTTTATTATCTTAATTTATATCACTTAAAACTATTTATAATAAAAGGATATTATTTTTTCACTTGTCAAAATATTATTTTAAGAATTTATAAATTATTTCTAAGATCAACTACACCAGAAAACTTTCCTGGAAGTCGCCTAGACAACTTACAGTATTCTAGAAGACTCAGACGACTTTCTGGGGCTATATTCGTAAAATTAAGTTCTGTTTATTTTGTTTGGTCACAAGGGGCTGAATGTTATTTCACAAGGCTTTTATGTTAGTTTTGCATTTGATTCAAGTTTGAGTGTATTTTTGCATTTAAAATCAAGTTTTGAGTTAGTTTTGGCAAATCTCTCTAGTATTAATTACAAACTAAATTTTGACCCCGCGCTTTTCAAGCGCGAAAATTTTTTATTATTAAAAATTTATATAATTGGGTTTTGTTTTAATTTAAAGAATGTTTTGGTATAAAATCACTTCACCAAAATTTGTGGTGATGATTGTTTTGCATTAATTTTTAGTTTTAGTTTTTATTTTTAGATTTTTGATTTTGGTTTTTAGTTTTTAAGTTTCTATTTTTGATTTTCAGCTTTTAGTTTGGGTTTTTAACTTTTAGATCTGCTGAGTTAGTTTGAATTGATATTACTAACAAATAAATCTCAAATAATCGAACATCTCATTTAAAACTAAAAAGATGACAAAATATATTTTTTTAAAAAATTGCAATAGTTTATTTTGTAAATAAACAAAAGCAAAAAATATAGCCTGCGTTTTCAGCTTTTGGTTTTGGATTTTAGTTTTTAGGTTTGGTTTTTGGTTTTGCTTTACATTTTTTTAAATCCGTAAATTTAAGAAAAATAAAACAATAAATATTTAAAAGTTACCATTGAAATTTATCAAAACAAAGTGATTTTTATTTAAAATTAAAAATACATTAACATGTTTTAAAGTACATGATTTGAATAAATGATTAATAATTGAAAATTTTGTTTTGTTAAAAATATTAAATACATTTGGGCCTGACAATAATAATTGATTTTTTGATCTATTAATGTATAAAAAGTTTATTCAATGTCTTTTGGATTTTTTTCCTTAATACCAAGCCTAAAAACCAAAGGGGAAATTGTCATTTAAATTACCAACTTTCAAATTTGGTTGAAATAAAACACCAACTTTCTCATAAGCCAAATAAACACTCAACTTTTGTTGACAAACCATTTTAGTCACAAACTTTCGTCGACCATACCAATTTAGTCATATCATCAGTCAATAGTTATAGTTGACTAATGGTATGCCTAAAATGGCTTTTGAAGTTGGTGTTTTTTTTGGCACAAATATAAATCAACAATTTTTAAAAATATTGGCTTTTAAATATTGAAACTTTTAATAACTATAACGCTAATAAATAAATTTTAAATAAAAAACTAATTCCATTCAAAAATATAAACATAACTCAACGTAAAATTATTAATTAACATATCTTTAATCGAGTATTTTAGTTAAAAAAGATTATATTTTTTTAATTATTTACGATTAATTTTTTAAAAATATTTGTATAATCCTACACGGATTATGTTTTATAATTTTTACTATGAAAAATTTGTTAGTAAAATATTACTTCAATTCTTGATTTTTTTTTAAACAAAATGAGTTATCGGATAACAAAAAGAGTTATCTATTTTAGTGAAACTTATTTTTTTTTTAAATGCAGAAAACCTCTTGTAAAAATTTTAGAGAAAATATATAGATTTGTTTCAAGATCTTTATTATAAACTTAAAGAATCATGAATAATTCGTTAATCGATAACTTTTTCATCTAAGAAACAAGAGTTGAATTAATATTTCAACAACAAACTTTTGAAAATAAAATTATAAAACATAATTCAAATATGATTATATAAATATTTACAAAACTTAATCTTAAATAATTAAAATATTTTATAACCAAGATACTCAATTAATGTATGTTAACTAATTATTTTACATTGACTTTTATTGATATTTTTATTAGATTTTTGATTTATAATTTTATTTATTAGTGCTTCAGTTATAGAAAGATTTTAAATATTTAAAAATATATCCAATATTATAAAAAAATATTGATTTATATTTGTGCTAAAAAACATCAACTTCGAAAGCCATTTTAGACCTACCGTTAGTCAACTATAACTGTTGACTAACGATATGCCTAAATTGGTATGGTCGAAGAAAGTTTGTGATTAAAATGGCTTGTCAACAAAAGTTGAGTGTGTGTTTTGGCTTATGAGAAAGTTGGTGCTTTGTTTCAACCAAATTTGAAACTTGGTGAATTAAATGGCAATTTTTCCAAAAACCAAGCCATATAATTTGTCATAAAAACAAAAGCCCAAGACTATATCCCATAAATAACCACCGATTTAATTTAATTAATGCAGTTCAATTAACTATATAGCTTGTATTATTTGTAACACTCTAGAAATAGTCCAAATTTAAATGACACATTGTATTAGTAAATAAAAAGAAGTAAGCCCAAAAACCAAACCATATAATTTGTCCTAAAAACAAAAGTAAGCCCAAGATTATATCCCGTAAATAACCAACGGTTTAATTTAAATAATGCGATTCAATTAACTATATAGTTTGTATTATTTGTAACACTCTAGAAAAATTCAAATTTAAATGACAACTAGTATTAGTAGATAAAAAGAAGGATTTTATTTTAGTAGAGTAGATCTATTGATTTCATAATTACTTTCATTTATCTCAAATACTATTGATTGGATATATGTTATAATTAATAATAGTTTAATTGTATCTCGATTATTTTTTTAATCAATGTAAAGAATGTCAAAATGCCATTCTTTATGGAACGGAAAGAATATCAGTGTAAACCATTCTATATCGGTGTAAATCGATATAAATTTAAACAAAATTGGTTAAGTTGAATAATAGTGTTAGAACAAATCTACAAATTTATCTAATTTCTTTAGTTTTGTATATATAATTTTGATATTCATCAAAACAATTTTGTAATTAAACCCACAAACTAAAATATCTTATATAAATATAAAATCTGTGTAAGTAAATCGATAATTCTTGAAATTGGTTTTTGCAGACCATGTTCTGTTTTTCTTTGGAAAAACACAACACAGAAACACATAAAGTACAATGTTCTTGAATCAAGATGTAACACCTTTTCATTTTCGTCACTGTCGTTGCAAGAAATCAATGCAATCCCTACTTTAGGCTTCTTGGTGCTGCTCGTTGGTTGCCTCTACAAAAATGCAAGGGATAATTAGTTTCAGTTATGATGTGAGCAAGTAATGTTGTAGCAGGCTTAACCGGTCCTAACCCATGTTATTGTTGTACCTTTGATATACGGCTGCTTTCTGAAGAAAAGCCAAACTTCAATATTTTTCGTTGTTCATGGACAGCAAGTGGTGCAACAGTGGCCTTAGCCGGTGATGAAACTGGGGCGTTCTCTGAGTCTTCTTCTTGCTTGTTCTGTTGCAACTGCTGTTGTTTACGGGTATCAGCTCTAAAGAAGTAAACAAATACTCTGGGGATAAGTCCAAACGTACCACAATATTTAACATCTAAACGGAACAGATAGTATTGAGCACATTTTAGTCATCTCCCTCTCTTGACGCTGCTGCTCTCGCTTCTTCCTATCATCATGGCTGCTTGCATCATGCAGCTCTTTCATCTCTTTGAATCGCTGCATAGTCCCAACAGTTGATGTTTTAGGGCTTCAAGAAGCTATAAACAAGAACAAGGGTTCAGGTATTATTTGTTTTACCTTCTTATGGTTGTGATCATATGAGCTCAAATGACCTTCAAACTCAATCACCGTTCTTTACTTCTTGCTGCAAAGTTCACAATAGAAGACTTTGGGCAGGAAGCAGGAAGTAGAAGAAAGCTACCAACCAAACCAGGTAATAAAAAACTGCAGTACACATTTCCTTGTACTCTTTTCGGTTTGAGCGCATACCTCCCGTTTCTAGAACATTTTTTTAGGTTTAGGCATTCAAAAAATCAGTCTAGATGCCTGCATAAACAATATTCCTCAATTTAAAAAGCTTAACCACCGAGCCTAACGATTTCTTCTTAAACATTGTTCTAAACACACAGACCTTGCTCTTGCTTCCCTAGGTCTTTGCCTTTCCACCCCACCCATCCCATCTTCTAAAGAAGACGAAAACCAACATTTGATGATGATGTTCAGTTTCAAAAAAAAAAAAAAAAAAAAAAAA